ATGACAATTCAAATTATCATTAAAAAGAAAAGTGGCGTTGGTCAAGGGTAAAATTTCTATGAGTAAAAAAATAATATTTACCCCCACCGCTCGGGCCATGCGTTGAGACACAAGCAGGCAGAGTTAAGTGATAAACTGATAACGAATGGCGTCCAAGTTTAGGACAAAGAGCAGTACTTGAATTCACCCTCTCATTATTTATCCCCCTTAAGAATATCTGTGGGGGTGGCCCGCACGCTGCCTCGTACATGGCTGTACAAGACATCCTGTGGGGCTTGGAGAACCATTGCCGATAGAACACTCCAACTATATATATATATATGTGTGTGTGTATCCTCACATCTTCCATTTCTCTGTGCTCTTGAGCAATACACTCAAGCTTTCGGAAAGTTCTTAAGTAAACTTTTCGCAAAAAAAAAAAAAGAAAAAAAAAACTTTAGCAACAGACGCAATTCGGAACAATCGGTAATATGTAATACTTGAGAGTTAGGGAGAGAGGGGAAGTGGTTCCCATTGCTACAGGAATAATAATATAATTTGGCTCGAGTATACGGTGGAAAGGACGTAATCGATGTACAGTCAGAACAAACACTCATAAAATTGGTATAATACCCCAAAGGTACGTTTTTGTACCCACAGGTATAATAAAAATAAAAAATTTCTTTGACTCGACCCGTATTCGATTAACACGAATCAGGCTGACTTGCGTCCATGTATTCGCGAGGTACGTTAAGGATTGACGTACATATGTACCTTGCGCAATGTGCCGTTGTACCTAAAATCCAAGACGGGGGTAGGAGTTGGGGCAAAAACGTTTTTCAGGAATTTTCACGGCGAAATCGAGATGGGGAAATACGAGTAGCGTCTCGACTACGTACTACATCAAAGAGTTTGGCTACTGGATATTCCAGAGGTAGTACACGACTGTGGGCAATCTCTCTCTCTCTCTCTCTCTCTCTCTCTCTCTCTCTCTCTCTCTCTCTCTCTCTCACACACGCAACACTCACTGAGGGAGCATCTTCGTTTCTCACGGTAAACTTATCCCTAAGATGGTCGAAACACAAAGAGTACCTTTGCTCAAACTATATTAATATTAAGCTACCGCCGTTGGAAGTTTACGGAGTGGCGGGTGGGCGAAGGGGGCGGTACGTGTACGAAGTGACCGTACAGTCCTACAGATATGAGAATATCTACAACGTCCCGGACACGACTACAAGGAGTCGTGGGAAGGTCCATAAATTTCGCGTGGAAAAGTCGCAAAACTCCTTTAATAAAGGAGACAGGTAGGGAGGCGATTTTGAAGAAGAAGAAAAAAAAAAAAAAAGGTAATAAAAAATATGCCTAATATCGCGACGTTCCCGTATATGATTCTAAAACGAAACGGCAAATTGAATTGCACCGGAGAAAAGTTACGTCGTTTCGATTCTTCCGCTTGATGTGGTTCGACCTCGAGAATTCAGAAATGGCTGAAAACGAAAGAATGGTAATTCCCTTTCGTGTGCAGCAGACCGAGCCTCCCGCAAAACAGACCGAACGCGTGTTCGGCGCGGGTTGGGCTATCCGGCCAGTATCCAACGGTTACATTTCTATGAATATAAGAATGAAATCACCGTATATACGCCGATAAGAAATGTTCCCTTGATACCCATGTGCAGGTATACATACGTATTACCGTACAGCGTTATAAGCTTCAGTAACGTATCAAATGGCTGGTTTCGCTTTGAGGTCCATTTCGCGTTGCCTCCGCGGTAACTTGGTCCGTGGGCCAAACTTGCCAAAGCAGCTTCCAACTGAGGCCATTCCCGATGGCGAGAGAGTAATCTTCTGAAAGCTTCCGGGAAGCTGCCGGACTGACGTCTTCTTAATAAGAATGTCGGCAACGGCGATAACAGAAGCGTCAGCGTCATCGGGATAAACCCTCCATTTTCGGTTTGGCGTCAGTATCGAATTCAAATTTTCCTAACAGGAGCAAATCTTCAATTAAAGCTCGTCGAGTCGTCAATTTCTTTTTTAAAGATACGTCGCTTGGCTCCGATCAACTTGGGGTGCCTTTTAATTTTCGGCTCCGTTAATCGTTGCTACGTTTATTATTGAGAAGAGCAGCGAAGAATAATGCAAGGCCGAGTAGGATCGATGAAAAGTGGCGTAAATGCGATTGTCCAGGAAGTATCCCCTTCTCGCGTGACCTTTGGCAAAAATCAAGGGAACAAGGAAAAAAAAAACTTTCTTTCCCGAGGTCACGTACTTTCGGTTAGAAAGTTTGCCCCGTCATTTCTATCGCTACAGTTCGGAACACTTTTCTCCCGTGACACGACCGACGCTGACCTTACTTAAGAATCCTGTCCCTTTGAATTCTTTTTTTTTTTCGTAAAAAAAATATCTACCATTTTTCTACCCCCTACGTAAACGCAAATATTCTCGTGACTCACGATCCGTGACGTTGCACCTCGCGTCTCTCGAATTGCCGTCCATTCAATTCCTATACGAGGATTCCCTACATGGCGTCCGTGCGGTTCAAGTGACACAGAATACGCAAACCGGTTTTGAAAGGTAACTTTTACAAAACGGATGTTTTAAGCGTAAAAGGGACAGAGAGGAAAATATAAATGTAGACGGTCAGAGAGAGAGAGAGAGAGAGAGAGAGAGAGAGAGAGACAGAGAGAGGGACAGAGAATTATAGAAAGAAGCGAACGTCTTCTGCACGAAGATGCCATAGTGCAGGTTGGCCAATGTTTTTATAAAGGATAGTATCGTACTTGAGTTCGTAGCCCGGTACTATATACGTGTATATATATACTATAATGTAATACACCCTATGTATTTGTATGGTTACCTGCGTGATATGGGAATATCGTGTAAAACAGTAGCGTGCATTACTCTTTACAGTAGTATATACATATATAATGATTGCCAGTCCTCGCAATGGACAAGGCCAATCGTCTGTTTGAACTCAACCATGTAGAAAGCGTGGCGAACGGATTTGGTTCGAGTCACAAATTCCAAAGAGATTCGACATTGTTACCGAGGATCCATTTTGCTGGCAGCAGCCAATTTGATTATTCTCTTAGGGTGGACCATATGAAACAAGCTAATGTTTTTACACGCTATTCTTACTGGCTTCATCCGTTCGCTGTGTATATGGGTATCTAGGTATGCAGGTAGGGTAGACCGTCGAAAAATACGACAGACCGAATGGAAGAGAAGGCGATAATAAACGTTGACGTATTATTTTTAGAATTCGTCCGTACAGATCTAAAAGGTACATTTTATTTTCCACTCTCTTAATGAATCCTTTCTGGCTATTAATAAATCATTAGCTTTATCTCAATTGCGTCACTTACGTTATTGACTTACGTCACTGACGCAAGGACTCTTCCAGACGCAAGCGGACGAATTAGGGATTTTTTGGAAAATATTCAAGAGACTGATTATAGTTCGATTAGATAATTATTATTATTTTTATATTCGAAAAATCATGTATTCGATGATCAAGCGCTAATATGATCTTTAATTATTGAGTATCCGATCAATAATAATACAGGTGACGTTTGTATTTCCAAGATCACGATCAAGTATTTTCGTAATGCTACTGCATAATTATTTAAAAAATCAATAACTAAAGCAATGTTTGTCCAACGTGGAATATAAATGTATGAAACAACGCGAGATCAATAAAAAGTTTATATGAAGTAATTGAAAATATATTTGTAACATTTAAGGATATTTTTATTTCCTCGTTACGTCAATCGTACTGAATGTCAAAGTTCTCGAATGACAGACGTGACAATGGAAATATTTCAAATTTACGAAATAACGTTGAAATTGACTTTGGAAAACTTTCTGAACGCCGATTTATATTTGTTCGCAAAGAATTTTCTGCTTCCGACGTTTAGACGTTTTCATATGTGATACACAGAGTAATATATATATATATATATAGTCTCACTGGATTTTCCCATATAACGGAAAAACATATCAAGCATTTTGTAACGATTTATGTTCCATTGAAAATAACAAGAACTCACGGATATGGTCTTTCACAATTCGGTCCACTGACCGTGCTCGAATTATCGACTTTTTAATGGTAAACCGTTACATAGAAACGTTTACCAAAACTGTATTTCGTGATCAACCGAGATAGAAATAATAAAAAATCCTAAAGAAACGTTTCTGATTGGCACGATCCATGAGCGATACAGTATACACAGCTCTGTGTCTGCTTTTGAATTTTGTCTATTGTGTTTAGCTATAGTTTGGTCGATCCGTCGTAAGTTTTGTTATTCCGTTCGGTAGCAATCGATATCACTGTGTTACGATGGTAGGAATGACAACTGGAGAGAATGCGCACGTTGAAAAATTACTCGTATGAAATATTAGTAAATTAAATGTCATGAAAATTGGAACGCTTATCAATTTGCATTTAGAGTGCAGCTGCCGCATGCACGAAATTTTATCTGAACGTGCTTATTTGGCCGCAATTTTGATTAAAGGACGAGGAAAACTGTAGTGTTTAAATTTAAGTTATACATTTTTTGGGTTGAAAATTATGAGACAGAAAGAAAAGTACTAAAGGCATATTAACCCTCTTTATACAAAATACTGTTTGTCCTGACTGACTACATAATGCATCAAGTCGATGTTACGTACTCCGAAATTTTCACGAACATTTAAAGTAAATAAAGAATTACTCTTTGAATTTGGAAAACAAAATAACGCACAAGCTTTACTTCGAGTCACGATTCAAAAGATTTTGAAGCAGTCCTGCATGATCCCCATAAATAAAATAAAACTTGACATATCGCGCCACATACTAGCTACTCCAACCTGTACGTTATGCCCAAGCTAGCAAAGTAAAACCCTAAATAAGGAGACAAGAATCGTCAAGAAAAAAAGAAAAATTTACAGTGTCCCAAATAATAGCGTCATATTCCTAAGAATCCCTACATACGCATCGCAACCGTTATTAATAAAGATAATAAATATAAGAAAGTATCACTCACCCAAAACATGACGTTAAATCCAAAGATGACGTACTTGAGGCAGCAGCTTACTTCGCTGGTATCCCTTCTGTACTTCCGCACGGGCATGGCTGAGAGACATTTATCTATTTTTTGAAAATTTCACGTTCAAACACATCCGCGCACGCACAGCACTGACACCAACGATATTAACGGCCGTTTTTTTTAATACGATCACGATACCGGCATAAATGCGCCAGCTGTTTTACGACTCGATTACCACCATTAAGACTGGGTTTGTATATACGAAGGGTAGAATAAATATAATGGTTGAGATTTTGGTTGGCAGTAGTCGTCGGTCGATCAGCTGCTCAAGATAAACCACCGTGCCGCGTTCACGACTACTGCCATTGTCACGTCACGGCGCACACTGCTTGTACCGAATCAAGCAGACCGGCGGAGAGCCAGACTTTTCGCTCGCGCCCCTCCAACTAGGCAACCCACGTATTAGCACGAAGGTTTTCTCTCCTGTTCTTTCCCTTTTCCTTCCTTCCCTCCAGCACAACAAACCTACGTTGGCAACCTCCTCCAACCACTGCCTGCCGCTGCCGACCGACAGACTCTCGCCGTATACACTCCAAACCACTCGGTTGTCTATCTCTCTTTCTCTCTCTCTCTCTGTCCCTCTCCCCCTCTCTCTATTCACCACGATCTCCGTCCCCCACTGTTCTCAAAATCTCATGCTACTATCTCTATTGACCTCATACCTTTTACCTTATATTTATCTTTCTCTCTCTCTCTCTCTCTCTATCCCGGCCATCTCGACCTTCTGCGCTTCAACATGTGCGCCTCCATCTCTGAACAGAGACAGCACAACGCGCACGCCGCAGCGCGAAGAGTGCAACTACCTGCTGTTTCTCGATGCGCATGCGCAGTCCCGTTTGTGTATGCTGAACCTGTCTATTTAACTAGGCAGCTATAGATATAGAGATATCCATTTAGCCTTAGTAGAGTTATATGCCTATGCGCTTACACGTTTATCTAGATATCTCTAGGCATTTTATTTCACTGCTCCCCTTTTGCTTTCTTCATTTACAAATTCTGTTCTGCTTTATCAGCAGCCGAGAGTATCTTATTGGCATTCTGCTTCGTAGATGTTTTTCGAGGGTATGCGCTTGATGGTATACCTTCCATTCTTTTTAGCATCAAACGTGAGAAAAAAACTGTGAGGGTGAAAACGATGGAACGCAGTGGAGATGTACCGGAGACTGTACTCTTTCGAATGAGATAGTCATAGCTAGTATCTGTACGAGTGACTATCGCAAATATATATTTTGCAAAAGAATATTGTAAGCTTATCCATGTATCAGCGTATGCATCTAGAATAACTGTATGTATAGTATTGCGCCGAGGAATTTATATAAAATGCACGGCCGCTCAGTTTGTTATGTTGAGCTAGAGAGGGTCGCGGAGTAAACGTTAGGCAAATGGTGCGCGATACAGAAATTAACAGATCGAGAACGTAACAGAACGAATCGGATGTGTCTAATCGAAATCCCTTCACCAATTAATAAATTGGGAGAACTCGCCGGAGCTGGTGCAGCTGATTTATCAAGGCCGTGCATCCAGGAGACACTCCGTTTTGCCCAGCACTAGGACACAACACTACACCTCTGGATATCGCGAGAGCAACGCGAGAAGTACACGAGGGAGAACTTGGTATACGGTATCGAAACACGGCGAGAAAAACTTTCAATAGGCAGCACGGCAGCGCAAAGCAGCTCGTGACATCTCGGTCGGTGCCCAGAGACAAACTGCTTTGACAATAGCCAAATTCGAGAACTAATCATTCTGATCATCTGATTGGTCGAGATCCTTATAGCCGATAACTCTTCCATCTCGTTCGAGTCGTCCCTTTAAACCAAATCGAGAGCGTTTCTTAGCGAATCGGTACGTAACTCTTGGAGATCCTCCACGGCCGCTTCCCCAGGACATCGGACGACAGCTGGACACCACAACCTGAACTCGGGTCAAGGGGTTCCTCTCCTGCCCTTAACTGTATCGAAACCTGATCTCCGTCCACTCTACAGTCCTTTGCCCATCTCCTGCGGGGCGCTGGTATCTCACCCGGGCTTCTGCCGCTCCGTGGAGATGTCTCCGTCGAGTACTCCCCTCTGCCGGGCAACTCGGTACGTTGAGACTATCTCCCGACGGCAGATTCGAGCATCTCGACCTCAACTAAACAATAACGAAATCTTCCGAGAGCACTGGCGCGACTATACGAATCAACCCGAGAGCGTAGCTTCTGAGTAGAGTGGCGACCCGAAGGGAACCAGAAAGCGAGAACGTTATATGTAACGGTAGCTGGAGGCGTCTTGTGACCGTGAATCGAAAAACACGTCACAAAGCTTACCCGTGTACCAGAGTATAAGTACATCTAGAATAATTGTATGCAGTGTATTGCGCTAAGTATTTTATATAAATGTTAAATAATATAGCGAATTTATGGTTACCATAATAATTGATAAGGAGAAGACAGATAAGGGCAGGGTTAAGCGCATAAGACTGCTGGCTTTTCTCTTAGTAAATCTTATTGAGCTTACACCGTGCACTCGAATTTAAGATTACAAAAAAAAGTATTTAGGCAATATCTGATGAGTGGCCTCGTTCCAAGGGTTGCTCTGGGAACCAGCGGTAAGTTGCGGAGAATCTCTGTCGGCCAGGCTACACGTTCGTGATCATGTTCAGCTCGGCTACGACGGGACATGCATTATCGACGGAGGCGATGATCACAAAATCCTATTCCCGAACTCGCCGTTACGATGTAGCGCCATGTTTTTAGTTTCGCCTAAAACCGTAGCGTTGTGCATCTCCCTACTCATCTCTGGTTATTATTACTCGTTACATATCTTGTGAATCGTCTGGCACATCTCCTCTTTGTTGGAGTCAGCTTATAAGGAAAGAAGGAAGGATCTTGTAAATCGTATAAACAATGGACAAAGGCAGCGGATTCTCATGTTGTTAGTAATTGCTTTAAATTTATTTCATAAAAACGAGAAGACATCGTTTAACGAGAAGCAAAAAATAGAGAAATATATAAGATGGCTCTAGCTGGGAATATACGTGCTGTAAGTGGAACGTTTGTCGAAATTATGAGAGTTCATAAAAGCTAACCTAAGTATCTAAGTGACCTGTTTTTATTATATCAATGAAATAGATTTTTTTAATTTTTGGATTTAGATAATGCAAACGACTCAACAATTATGTCAGCAACGATACCTTCATGTCACAGCAGTTGCAAGTAGAACCCAGGCTGGCCGTCACAGAGCTACTCCACGTCGAACTAAAGCACTTACATATGAAATGGCTAATCCTCCTCATTACATTGCTCATCGTAAAACATGGAATTCCTGGAATACTTGTAAGAATTGATATTTGTCTTATAAAATGTATACTCATAAATGCCTGTCATTATATTTTCTTCTTAGCAAACGTAATGGGTGGAAACAGACCAGGAGAGACTGCAGTGGAAGATATTTTTATACGTCGTTTTATGACTGGAACATGGCATGCACTGTTTGTAAGTGATATAATTATTAAGAGACAGCATAATATTATTAGGATTGCTGGACTTGTACAGCGGTCTTTGGCTCAGAGGAAAATGTACTTTCTGATAGGATATAGCGAAGAACTTCTTAGCTATTGGTTACAATGTCCTGTTAAGTTGGAATTGCAAACAGTAGCATCGAAAGAGGATGTTATATTTAAATATGTCTAAGTGATTATTATATTATAGTTAAATGTATGTAACTCTAAATAAAATTTATAAATATACCAATGGTGATGATCATTATCAATTCTGTTTATGAGCGGCGGAGAAGATTTAGCTATAAAAATCAGAGATGAGTAGAGAGATGCACAACGCTACGGTTTTAGGCCATACCAAATGCATGGAAATAGCTGGAAATATAGTCAGACACTACCGCGCAGCATGGGAACACTTTCGGAATGCATCACCAAAATCACACAAATATAAGTCAGATCTATGCTATACTTCCGGTATCAGCTGAGTATAGCAAATTTATGGCTTTCAGCATGGCCGCTTACATAAATGTTTATGGTGAGTAGAAAAAAAAGGAAAAAAGAAAAAGATCACTTACCCCAGGATCTTCGTCTGCCTTTCTCTGGTCCATTTGTATTGTTCATTGGTCCAGTACATCTTTCCACACTCGAGGTCCATTTTGGGGACGACTTGACGATTGCAGCCTTGACCACTATTTTGCACTTCCTGTATTTTCGGTTGCGGACTAATTCTTCACTTGGTACAAATAGACCAATACGCGAATTTCCGCGAACTTTAGATCATGTCTTCGCGACGCACTTATTCAAACGTATCAATTCACTACGTCACACTTTTTTTCGTAAATGAAGGTAAAGGATAAAGAGTAAAGAAAGAGATGGCACGAAATGGGCTGAAGGCCCGAAGAGATTAAAAGAGATGATTTTGATGATACTGATAGGGAATGGTTGTTACAGACATGACACTTGACCGGGGACAAGCGCGATGGACCGGATTAAGCAGGCTAGGGTGCGAAA